AGAGGCTAAGCGCCCAAGATCCCAAGTCGAGCGAGTCCGCACATCTCCTGGCTCTATGCCACCTCCGTCTCGGTGACCACCGAACTGCCTTCGAAGTTAGCAGGCCATCAGCTTATCGTGGAACGAATTTGGGCGCTGCCTGGATATTTGCGCACGCATGCGTCAAAATGGAACGATACAAAGACGGCATCAATGCCCTAGAAAAAGCACGAGAGAAATGGATCGGCAAGACGAACATGGGCAAGCACACCACCTCGACCCGCTCGCTCTATCCAGACGAAGCTGCGATTCTGTGTCTGTTGGGCAAGCTGTATCGGGCGTACGACGACAAGCGAAGGGCAATCGAGTGTTTCGAGACTGCAGTGAGAGTCAACCCTTTCATGTGGGATGCCTTCCAGGCACTCAGCGACATGGGAGTAAAGTTGCGTGTACCAAATATTTTCCAGGTCACCGATCCTCTGGTTCATTGTTTTGAACAGGAGCAGGGAGTGTTGCCCCAGGAGCCAAAGGAGAGCTCGGCAAACTCCTTTGAGCCAAAACGGCCTCCGATTCGATCAACAGCGGACTCATCTGACCCATTCAACCTCCATCGATCCTCCACATATCAGGATATGCCTTATAGTGCCAATCTCTTCTCCGCGGAAGCAGAGGAGAATGATTTCATGTCAAAAATCACAGCAGCAAGATCTAGGCTAGCCCCACCGTCCACGAGCAACGGTGAACTCGACCTCATGGAAACACCCACCGGCCCAGTGTCTATGCCAGAGGTCCCTACAATGCGTTCAGCTTTCAACGCTGCGGAGCCACCGCAAGCGCCGCCACGGAGGACAAGAACAGCCCAGGCCGTGGATCCCAGCCTTTTCGAAGCCCCACCGAAGGTCGGTTACAAGCTAGGTGCCAAAAGAAGTACCAGAAGCCAAGACAAGGACTCAGTCGAGCTGCATTCCGATACTGGGACCGGCACTCTGCGGTCGACCATGGCACCCACGGAGCGGAAGAGGACGGTTTCGGGCCATCCGGTATCTAGGCAACACACGGAAGAAGCCAACGCACCTGCACAACGGAGAAGTGCCAGGCTTAACATGTTTAACAAACCCTCAATTGCTAAAGCGAATTCCGGTGCCGCTACCATCGGCGCCGCAGCAACTCGTGAGCTGAAGAAGGCTAGGCCCCAGATCTCACGGATAATGCGACCTGGGTCTAGTGGCTCCAGTGTTGGCAGGGTCGTGAGCGGCAATCGCAAGCCGGTTGAGGACAGTGGCATGGATGTTGATCATGCCGAGACCACCCGTGTGAGAGAGCCCCACGCGGTACAGCACGCAGTACCGAAAGCTGCCTCACACGAACTAGACAACGTCAGAATCGAGGAAGCTTTGAGATGGGTCATGGAGCTGCTCAAGAAATTTGCCTCTGGGTACTACTCACTCAAAGCGTTCCGGTGTCAGGAGGCGCTGCAATTCTATGCTTCCCTACCAAGAAGCCAGCAAGATACACCTTGGGTGTTGGCGCAAATGGGCCGAGCGCATCACGAACAGGGTTCGTACAAAGACGCCGAGAAGTACTTCAGAAAATTACGCGTGGTGGCGCCGACGCGGATGGACGACATGGAAATCTACTCAACGATTCTGTGGCATCTCAAGCGGGAGACGGACTTGTCCTTCTTGGCTCATGAGCTGGTGGATGCCGACTGGACATCCCCTCAAGCCTGGTGCGCTCTCGGCAATGCTTGGTCGTTGGCAAGGGAGCATGAAATGGCTTTGCGCTGCTTTAAGCGAGCGACGCAGCTGAACCCCAAGTTTGCATATGCCTTCACGCTTCAAGGCCACGAGCACGTTGCCAACGAAGAGTACGAAAAGGCTCTCAGCGCCTTCCGCAAGGCTGTCACGGCGGATCGACGTCACTACAACGCGTACTATGGCATTGGCCAGGTGTTTGAGAAGCTCGGCAACTACGAAAAGGCCTACGTTCACTTCCATACGGCATCCGATATCAACCCGACCAATGCTGTCCTCATTTGCCGTATCGGAGCAATCCTGGAAAGGCAAAAGCAAATGATAGCTGCGCTACAATTTTACACCAAGGCGACAGACCTGGCCCCGCGTGCACCCATAGTACGGTACAAAAAAGCACGCGCGCTGATGAGTCTGGGCAAGATAGATCTCGCGGAGAAAGAGCTGCTCATTCTGAAGGACGTGGCCCCTGACGAAGCCATGGTGCACTTCCTTCTTGGCAAGCTGTACAGAAGCCTGAATGAAAAGCAAATGGCGGTGCGCGCTTTCAGCAATGCTCTTGCTTTAGATCCAAAGGTAAGGTTACCCAGTCAGGACAGCACAGCAGACATTTGAGCTAACAGTCTGAGCAGGCCAGTCAATCGATCAAGGACGCCATCGAGAGTATCGAGGATGACATGGGCATGGAAGACTCCATGATGACATAGGATGAAAGGAGAAAGAAGGTTGTCTTCGACTAAGGCTTTTTTGCCCTGCCGTACCGACAGGAGCGGAAGGGCGTCGGCGATTGTGCGTGCGTTTTCTGTGGGGGGTGCGAGAACTGGCAACGAGGCCGGGTACCCACGACTTGACGAAAGCGAGTTTTGGCCAAGCTTTGAATTTGGGCATGGTATAACAGCACGATGACACGGATTCATGTTGCATGCTGCATGGCATCGGCGTTTAGGAAAGTAAAGCAGGGTTGCATATTGGCTTGCTTGGGGAGGGCTGAATGGATGACCCTCTTGTATATTAGCGCCCTATGAGGCGCCGCAGTAGTGACTGATACGACAGATCGCTGGTCATGAAAAGTAATGCATCACCTAACTTTGATGGTCATTGCCCTTTGGTGCATGGTGATGGATGAAGCACACAGAAAAGTAGGCGCAAGTGTCCTCATCATACCAGTTTCGTTAGGTGACACTACCTGCCGACCAACTTCACCGGCAGATCACTAAGGTCTAACGGAGTGATCCATGTCGCGTCAGATCTACCTTAGGCTTTAGAGGCCGGCCAGCTCGTTACCAGGGGCGGAATGCGCCATGAATCTGGCCTCCTGGGCTGTCAAAACCTTTTGAGAAAGGCCGTGACCCCGGATTATGAGCCGCAGATGGGACTGTTCCCTCGATCTGAATTTCCACCAGGTGCCCAAGTCATGTGAATCGGCAGAGGGAGGGGCTGATTTACGGGACTCCCCTTGCAATTGCATGAACACCCAGCAGCGGGGAGGAGGATGGCAAAATTGGACCAATCAAAAATAAGTCTCGCTGAGCAAAAGAACCGTGGAAGATGAAAGCGGTCGGCAAATCGGGAGCGGCAGTGGCCATTGGCAGAGTGCAGGAACTTAGGAAAAAGACCATTGGTGACGCGTGACCGCGACAAGAGTTCAATGTCTGGAGTTTGAAGTGGAAAGAGAGAGCTCGGGCCAGTCAAAAGTCACCGCACTTGCCTTGACCTCTGCTTTTGGCAACCAACACCCCCCCTGCTTTCGACGGCTCTTTCTGCTTGGCCCGGTCCCCTTGGGAAGTTGGGTCCTTCCCCCGACTACATAGAAAAAAAGAAGCCGTGCACGTTCCACCCCCACCCAACAATGCGTGCAGCGTTCCATAACAAAAAAGCGCGCCTGTCAAAATAGCGCTTCGTTAAGCAACCATGTCAGCCAAAGAGCCCCGATTTCCCGGCGGAAAATAGAGGACAATTGCCCGTTTTTTTCAGAAATAAAGAGCACTCGCCAAATCGGGACTAGCCTACTGATCCCATCAGCGCCTGCCGCACCACACAATCAGTAACCATCCCCCCGGACTTGCAGCACCGCCTTATTTATTCTTTACCCCCCTCAGCTGTCTCTTCTTCCTCCCATTCCCACTCTTCTCTTTTCCCACACCCAACGTATCCATCAACACCAACTTTCAACGTCATCAACGACACGTCTTTATCGAGACGCGCTTATCCCATCCACTTAAGCATCTACTTCAACCTCATACACAATGACTGGACGTAAGTTGCGTCTCTATTTTACCTACTCGACCCTGCTCTTTGTCGCCGTGTCGTGGCGCGTTCTGAGTGCGGCGTAACCCCGCGGTTTAATGGATGAGGATCCGTTGGTATGCGTCTGCTTTAGAACGCGTCTCAACCTCATCCATCGCGGATACGCGTCTCATTCTGGTCGCATCATGCTGTCTACTTTGAGTCTTTATTACTTAGTAGTTATCATGATACTAACGTCTTCCAGGCGGCAAGGGCGGCAAGGGCCTCGGAAAGGGCGGCGCCAAGCGTCACCGCAAGATTTTGCGTGACAACATTCAGGGTATCACCAAGCCCGCTATCCGCCGTCTCGCTCGTCGTGGTGGTGTCAAGCGTATTTCTGCCAGTAAGTTGAATCAACATCCTCTACCATGCTCATCAATAGTGTACTAACATATCCCCCTTCTAGTGATCTACGAGGAGACCCGTGGTGTCCTCAAGTCCTTCCTTGAGGGTGTCATCCGTGACGCCGTCACCTACACTGAGCACGCCAAGCGCAAGACCGTCACCTCCCTGGACGTTGTCTACGCCCTCAAGCGCCAGGGCCGCACCCTGTACGGTTTCGGTGGTTAAGCGTATCACTTCGATGGTTGCTTTGCCTTTTGCGCGACTCGGATGCCATGGCGCCGTGGTATCTGGACTGCTGAAAGGCGAGCTTTCGTTGTGGATTCATTGGTCTTTTCAACGGTAATGGGGATATGGATACATCACGTTGATTTATGGCGTTTGGGAATCACGAGACTCTGGGAATGATAGTGCTCTCATGGCGTCGATAGGCAGACGCATTGTCTGAAATGGAACACCAACCAATATGGTGATTTGAACACAACATACACTCTTGTTCCTCTGGCGTGATTTGATCGTGACGCGTGTCGTGTTTACGTTTGGTAAAGTGATCCACTCTGAATAATGCGAGTAGTCTAGGCTGCACCTGCTGTAAAACATGACTCGCTTGGTCTACCTCGTCCACCATGGCCCTCGTAATGTCTAGAGATATTTCCTACCCGCCGCCGCAACTCGTGACCTAAACACAGGACTCTTGACTTCCATATTGACCCTGTAGAACGGACTCATGATGGCCTTGACCCAGTTCTCGTACACCTCTTGAAAGAAATTCTTGATGGCCTCCTCGGTCGCGGGGCTGGTGGGGTTGGCGCCGATGGCCGTCGACGAGCGCGAGGACGCCGTGGTGGAGGGCGCGGAGGGCTGGTGCAGGAGGAGGAACTTTACGTTGCCCGCCGTGACGAAGCAGGAGACGTAGTTGTTGAAGAACTTGTCTACGATTTTGAGGTACCTGTATCGGGTGAAGGAATCGTGTCAGCAGGCTTGCGTTTGTGTCTGGCCTATGCCGTCTTGCATTGCGATGGTCGAGAGACTAGGGTGAAGGAATGTTGTCTGGAGTTTTGGGAGTGAGGTGGGAATTTTTTACATTTGCCCCTGCGCCCACTGTACTTCCTCCACGATATCCAGACTGCTGTGCAGGATGAACTGGTTCAGGTGGCGGACCTGCTCGTTGAAGCGCGACTGGCCGTCGCCGCCTTGCTTTGAGGTGCCGAACTCGTATTCGAAGAGGGGGTTGTCTTGCGTGCCGACGATGGCGAAGTAGTACGACATTGTTGCGTCGTGTGTGTGCGCGCGGCGTTTCTTTCCTTCTATCTCTTGGTTCCAGTCTTGCGCTCTTGGTTATAACGAACTCTCTATCACTGGCGCGACATGCGTGGATGAGTGTGCTTGTGGGAATCTGGTTTCGAATTGCAATGCTTTGGTTCTAGGTCGGGGATACGTATGCGGCTTCGCAAGGTGAGGGTACCGGAAATAGGGACGTCGAGTTTAGTCGTAGAATAAGGCAGTATAGTATTCGCTCGAGGTTGAGGGGTTCGTCGTCGTGGGGGTACGGGGGGTATCTCAAGAATCGCTGGATCTTCGTATCGTGATGTTGCGCCTCTCTCTCACCGAGTTCCCGCTGCTGTTGCACGCCTCACCTCCAGCGACAGCTAACACCTAGGTAGGAACCTTAGCGCAGGGCCCGCGGGGCGGGCTGGCGGGCCTGCAGGACGACAGTGGAGACTCCCTCCCGGGTTGGCACAGTGGTCCATTGAGGTGGGAAATTCCGTAGGAGCGCGCAGAGCCAGCCAATTGAGCTCTCCAATATGTCTCCACTTTGGATCGGCTTTCGTAGCTCCAAAATTTCCCTAGGAAGCGACTGCATCGAACGGTTTTGTTTGTCAATTGAAGGAGAGAGGCTGAAGCTCCTGAGCACCACAAGCGACGACGACGCCAGAGACGACGACGGATTGCGAGGCAGCACGAGATACGACTCTTGTGGGAAAGGGATAGACACAATACTTGGGGCATAGTCCATCCGGAATCCGAAGCGGATCGAACCCGAACAGCCGCCCTCCACGAACAGAGGCAACATCACGGCTCGACAACAGCCGACATCCTTTCTCTCTCGCCCGTCGACATACACACGCGCACACACATCCAACATGTTTGGAGCCTTCCGCATGACCTCTCCGCTCTCGAGCGGCCTCCTCTGGAAGATCCCGTGGCGGCTCTCCAAGTTCCAGAAGCGCCGCCACCGCGAGCGCCTCCGCGCCGTCGACGACGTGATTGCGACGGTGGACGCCGCGCTGGCCAAGAAGGGCGAGACGGTGGCCGCGCTGGAGCGGTGGAAGGCCGAGATGCCGACCGAGGCGGAGATGCTGCCGAGGGACAAGTATACCATGTTTGATCGCAAGGAGAAGAAGTACCGCAAGGGCATTCACAGTATGTTTCCCCCCCCCCCCCCCCTTTTTGTCTTTTCAACGTAGTATCGAGCCAATGGGGGTATGAAGCTAATAATATGTCTTTTGCAGAACTTCCCAAGTGGACGAGAGTTTCGCAGAGATTGAACCCGCCGGGTTACTAGACCGAACTATCAGAGGCATTGGGACTGGCCAGATGGGCTGCGAGAAACTCGGGACGGAAAGAATGGCTTGTTGGGAATCACGGCCCTTGTACGAATATGTACTCTACGCAACCCGAAGCTGAGGAAGGGGAGGGGGTCGAACGGACGGCTGCCGTTGCAGTGGACAGGAGCAGACAAGAAAGCTTCTCTGTATATTATAGCATCTGCTTTGGGCTCAGGAGATAAAATCACACACCTTTATGTACAACTGCATGGGGCGAATATGAGGCTGAAGCAGAAAGTTCCAATCACGCACCCAGGTTTCTACCATTTCAATGTCCATGATTGTGTCATATTGGGGTATCGATTCCCAGAAGCCTGCCTAGTTATTGCGAAAGCATTGTTTCCCACCACCCAAAGTAGAGTCTCTCGTTCTCCTTTTGCGTCTTCTCCCACGTTCCATCTGCTTTTGATGCCGTCCTTTGTCGGACAAAGACGTGTTCCCCAGTCCCAAACATATCCGTACACAATCGCCCAACACTCATCGCGACTCCTCATACTCGCCCATCCGATCGTCCCGATCCCTCTGCATCTGGATCGCCCTACCATGCCCACCTCGTCCCTCGTCGAAGTCCTCGCGGTACTCGTCACGCACCTGCCCACCGCTCTTGCCACGACCGTACTGTCTCCCCTCCTCAAAACCGGGGTCGAGATCGGTACGGATGACGCGCTCGTCGAGCTTGGTGCCGCCAATGTACTTCATGCAGTCCAGGGCGTCCTGGTGGGTATAGTACTCGACGAAGCAGAAGCCGCAGGGGGTCTTATTGAAGCGGTCGAGGCCCATGACGAGGCGCTTGATCTCGCCGCACTTTGAGAACAGCTCGTAGACCTGCTCCTCGGTGGTGTAGAAAGAGAGGTTGCCGACGTAGAGCGTCGTCGCGTTGGCGAGGGGGTCCTCGGGGAGGGGCTCGTTCTTGGTGGCGGCCTCGTCTTCGGCGTCGCGGGCTTCGCGGGCGGCGTCGCGGTTGTCGTTTCTCCTGCGCTTGTTCTGTGAGGGTTTTCTCAGATTAGCTGCTGGCTGTTTGAGGGTTTGCTTGTTTCCTTGCTTGAACTGTTGGAAAGACAGAAGGCTGGAGGGAAGCTGTAGCTGTTGCTCACCCGGTTGTGGTAGTATGCACTCGGCCTGTCGAGGCGCTCTACTGTGTTTCTGTGCCGGACCTGCATTCTGAAGGTGTTGGGGGTTTGCGGTTGAGGACAATTGGTTCGTTGTCGGTCGTGTAAGTGGGAATTGAAAGTCGAGGGTCGAGAAACGGCACTTGCCTGGTTGCAAGTCAAATCGAAAGGTACCAAGGTACCTCAGGCAGGTGCACCTTGCTGGGACTTGAACTCGATGGTCTGTGCGCAGCAATCACATCACGTCGTTGCTTCAACGTCACTTGGTCAATTCAATTGACGGCATTTCTAGAGAGAAGCTACTTTATCCGGTCATGATCTTGAATTTTTGATTCAATTGAGAAGATTTGATAGCTTCAGCATATCTAAAAGTGGCAAAACACTAGTCCATGGCTTATTCCTATACCTCAGAGATGCATTCACTGCTACAGGATCTCTCCTATTTCATTCATGAAAACATTACAATAGTCAGTATAACTTATGGCAACGAGTCTGAGGACCTCGTTCTCTTGCTGTCGAGTCCATATAGTTGTCTACTTCAGGTGGTGATTACGATACCTTACCTCACCTTACCTTAGGTACCTAGTAGGTGCTGAGGCATGAATGAAGACTTACATGGTCCGTTGTCTGGTCGATCTGATTGGTGCAGCGCAGATGTAGGCAGCGCCGGGAAAGCTCAAAGTGGGTCTCGGTGTGGCTGCTACCAGCAACCGCGTTTTTTGACCAAGAATAATTCTAGCAACAAGCTCACCAGCAAACACCACTGGAAAAAAGTCCACGAACGACACTCGAGCTCAATTTGGCCTGCAGCACCCATCCGACCACCCGAAAGCCTGCAGAGAATCCCCGATACACGACTCGTTCGATTGAGAGGGACGCGATGCCCAAGGTCAAGAGCTATACGGCCCCGTGGCTATCGCATGGGCCCGGCCACAGCTTGTTCGCGCCCTCCAGCGACGCCTCCAACAAGGCGTTAAGCGCCCCGTCGCCCTACGGGTCCAAGAGGAAGAAGATCCAAGGTCCGAGGCGGACGATTGCGAGACGAGGAACCGAGGTCTTTGTTGCTGTAGGCAAAGAATTGCGATGGGGCGATTTGGCATACCTGAAGGAGAAATGGTCGACAAAGCATGCGCACCGTCGCATGGGCAGCCGTGTCAAGCGGGAGGACTCGACACAATCATTTGACGATGATGCTATTCCCTCGACGGAAGAGGCGGCTACGGCTCAGGGTTTCAGGGTAGGTTCGGTCCAGTCCTCAACAGGACGGGTGACCAAGATGCTAACAAGTCTCACAGACTATCAAGACATCTGTCGCAGACGACATCCGGCAGCTTGTCATCTCTCCCAACTCCGATTACCTCGCTATTCTCACGGCGCATACCGTTCACATCTGCGTGGTTCCCGATTCTTCGCATCTCACGGCCGAGGACACTGGACCTTTACGACCCAAGATCTGGACACTGGGACCTACAACTCATGTCACCTCGCGATCCCCGGTTGCATCAGCTGTATGGCACCCACTTGGCGTCAAGGGATCTTGCCTCGTCACCGTAACGACCGATGCTATTGTGCGCGTCTGGGAGTTGTCATTGACCGATCGGTGGTCATTTGACTCTCCCACACTGTCGATCGACTTGAAGAAGCTGGTGGATGGTACGACGCTGGACCAGGACTTCAGCGCATCCACGGCTGCTACGAATGCCAGCTTCTCGCAGTACTCTCTGGAGATGCAGGTGGCCTCTGCTTGCTTTGCTGGCCGCGGCTCAGGAGGATGGAGCCCTATGACTCTCTGGGTTGCGATGAGAGAAGGCGACGTCTACGCATTGAGCCCCTTGCTGCCCCAGAAATGGGCACCGCCTCCTACTCTTATCCCATCGCTTTCGGTTTCCATCGTATCCAAGGTGGCTGCCCTAGAGGATGACCCTGCTGTATCTGAAATGGACAAGCTCCTCGCTCAGCAGCAGCTCGAGTGGATGGGTGATTTGGATTCTCAGGAGCCCCAAATCCTCGATACAGCGCCCGGCGAAGAGACCGTGGAGGTCTACACACGCCCTTCCCGGCCGGGAGTTATCCCAAGATTGCAAGGCCCGTTCGAATTCGATGCCGATCCCGAAAGCGAGGACGTCGGGGACGGCCTTCTAACGGATTTGCTCGTAATCGGGAAGAAGGTGGACACTGACGACCTGATGATGGGCGAGGACGAAGACTTGGACTTTGACGAAGGTGACCAGGAGGGACTCTCTCTCTCGGTCATCTGCCTCCTGTCTACCACCGGTCAGGTCCGCGTGTACTTGGACTTGGAGGGCGTCGAAGCACAATGGCTGCCCCCGCGAAACAAATCCAAGCTTGGACGCCTCTTGTCCGCTGCCGACCCACCTTCACTGTTGACGTTCCAGTGCATCGACACCATGGCCACAACTGAAATGAACGACGACGCATGGCCGACGTTTTCATCGGATGTCATGTCACGCTACTCTCTTTTTGTCACCTCGCACGCCGGCGTCACCTTCCTTTCTCTATCTCCCTGGGTTTTCCGCCTCGAGGGTGAGCT